TCCAGCCGTATTCGTCCTGTCAATGTTATTATTTAGACCAAAGTTGAAATCACCTCCAAGAAGCAGTGAGCAATCCAGGTGATTTGATAGAACAGAAAAGAAATCATGAAAAAAAGAGGTATCAAGCCCTGAATATTTTTAGAACAATTTAAAATGCACTCAGCCAAAACTATTTAGCACATTTAATATCATTTATGCATATTACAGAAACAATTGAAAATGGGAAAGACACACCCAAATGAGTAAATCATGCCCAAATAACAGGTGACTAAAACTTGGAAAACAAAATGTGTGTGTGTGTGTGTGTGTGTGTGTGTGTGTGTGTGCGTGCGTGCGTGCGTGCGTGCGTGCGTGCGTGCGTGTGTGTTCAAACTTGTAATCACTTCATTTGCATTTGCTTTGCTAACAAATATATTTAGATGTAACTAATTTTTTGGGTTAGTGTTGTCTTTATTATAAAAATATGTAGACTTGTGAGAATAAGGCTAATGTAAAACTAAATGTTTTGCATTTAGTTTTACTAAACAATGCAGTAATACGTTTTTCTCTAATGTAAATACAAACATTTGGTAACACTTTATACTAACTACACCTTATTTAGCCTTACTGAATCATTAAAAAATGATTAGTTAACTTTAAAAACATCATTAATTAAGGATGATGCATACCTAATGCGCTATAAATTAACAAATTTATCAATGTTTTATCCATAGTTACTTCCATAACCAACATCGTTTATTCATGCTTATTAACTCTTTATTTAACTCTTCCAAGTGTTCACAAAAAGACTTAACTAACTACCTGCAACTGGTTTAATAATTGATGCACTGCAGGATTAATAGATTTATTTTTCTTTATTATTAACTAAGGAAGGCCAAATAATATGCAGTTATTTAAGTAGTTAAGTGCCACCAAATATTTAAATCACAGCAACTTTTAAGCCTTTTTGAGTTTCTCTGTTTACATCATGAGTCGGCAACTTTATTTGGTTGCAATGAAGCAACAAAGACTGGTTGAATTCACATAAAAATTTTCAGAAGAGACATTAGATTATGAGAACGTCTGCTGATAAAACAGCAACAAGTAAACGACAGTTTTGCTCTGTCTTCTCTCTTGCGTCCCTGCTCGTCTCCCTCTGTTGTCTCTCTCATGTCTTTATACGCATCAAATAACTTTTCATCTAAACTCCCTCTCTGCCAGCATGCCCATCAACCATTGCTAAAGAGGCAGTTTCTTAAAAAAATACAGGCTCTGATGAAGATCAGCCACTTCGATGTCAAATAACGTGTGTGTTATTTCAGTTTGAGCTTATGCGTGCTTTCTTAGTGCTTTTCTGCTACTCATCATTTGAAAATCGTAGCCTATTTGGCTGTAGCCTTCAGTCATTCCATTGTTACTCTTGACTTTTGGCCTATAAAACTCAGCTTTTTAAATGAAATCTGTGATGTAAAAAAAGAGGAAATAGATTCCGTATTCTTTTGAACCAGACATTTGTAGCAGATTATGTATTGTTACATCACTGTATCTGTATGTGTCAAAGGTGAAGGTAGAATTTAATCTTTGATTATGTTATCAGCTCCATGGCGATAAGGGAGGTGTGTAGAAGACCCACTGCAGCTCTGGCCTACTTGTGGCAGTGAATTGGCTACATGTCGGCTGTTTTCACTGTGTGTGTGTGTGTGTGTGTGTGTGTGTGTGTGTGTGTGTGTGTGTGTGTGTGTGTG